AGGAAGGAAGGAAGGAAGGAAGGAAGGAAGGAAGGAAGGAAGGAAGGAAGGAAGGAAGGAAGGAAGTGGGGAGGTAGGGAGGGAGAGATTGAAAGAAAGATTGAAAAATATTGAAAAACTGAAAGAGATTTCACTGAGCAGTGACATGGTTTGTTCTATTAAAATGAGAATGAAGAATTTGTGTTCAAATATACTATTTTTAATTGAACTGCAGGTTCTTTCCTAGAAAATAATTCTCCTGGGGTAGAAAAATAAAGATTTGTTTAATGCTCTCTACATGGATGTATCTAATTACTGTATGCCTTAATGTGACTGGTCTGGCTTGGGCTTAGCAGTCATTCCAGGTGCATCAGAATCATGTCAGGTGATGAATTAACAGAGTATGCATCAGAATCATGTCACTATGGTTCAGCCATGGTTAAAATCAAGCATGGTTTAGTACATCAAAAATACTAGAAAGCTGTAATATATTTGGACTTTTGCAGTTTAGCATGTTATGTGGCTCATTAACTCTGTTTTCTAAGTTATGCTTTATTGCTTGCATAGCTGTGTAAACCAGCCAACTGTGGAATATTTTAAAAAACACTTTAATAAGAAATCATAGCTTAATGTGAAGCATGAGTAAAGTGAACAAATCAATTCACCTAGCATACAGAACATTTCACATGAAGCAGATTTAATTCTCCAAAGCAGAATAGTTCAAGCCTACATTAAAATACAAGGGAACTCACTTGGAGTCTTCTAAATACAAATTATCTGCTTCACCATGGAGCTGCTAGCCTTCCTTAATCTGCAATAATCAAAATAAGCTGCTCCAAAGCAATCACTCTAATTAAAGTTCCACATAAAGTATAGGATAGACTTATTCACCCATGTAATTTTGTTTTCATGTGAATATGAAGCATTATAGGTGATGAATATGTCAAGCCATTTCTGCAAAAGGGTTTCTACAAAATAATTGCATCTATCCTGTCTGAAACAATGATACCTATTATTTAAAAAAAGTAAAAGTAGCAGACCACACAGTAAGGAATGTATGTTTGATGAGAAACCATCACCTTCATAAAGCTGGATGAATTTGGGGTAAAGGGTAGAAGGGATCACCCGATCTGGCAGCTCCCGCAGAAATAACTTCAACAAACTGGCGGCTGAGCTTACGTCAGCCTCTGTGGCGAGATCTACTTGATCTCCACCCTCGTACTTCATGCGCAGCTGTTCCACTGTTTTCAGGTTACCATTCACCCTGAAAAGACCTTCTTGCTTGAGACCTGTAATTACATACATAAAATGAGATAAGATAAGCAGATTTCCTGGCCTATGTTAAAAAAAAAAATCTGGATAGAACAAATGATGGCAAAACTCATAAAATCAGGTGCTCTCCACCTTTCTGGACCAGGAAACTGAGATCCAAGCTGTAGATCCAGGAGCAGGTTGGAATGAGCATTAAAGTAGGGCTGCTCAGGAATTCTGGGACTTGAAGTCCACTAGTCATAAAGGGGTCACCTTTCCCCACCCCTGCACGAAAGGATTGGCCAATGAGCATGCACAGTTGCATTTTTTAAAGCCCCACTGGTGGAAAAACTTCACACAGGAAGTTAACATAATGAGAACAGATGAGGCTACACATTTTCTCACTAATGTTCAGGATTAAGAAACGAGCCTTCAAAGAAAGTAGCGTCCTTCCTATTGGCCTGGGTCTCCAAAAGAGCTACAGGTAGTCCTCAGCTTACAGATATTCACTTAGTGACCGTTCCAAGTTACAACAGCAGTGGAAAGAGTGATTTATGACTGCCAGTCGCACTTACAATCCTCGCAATCATATGATCCAAATTTGAACACTTTGCAACTGAAATCTATTTTTTTTTTCAATGGTTGAAGCTTCCTCAGGTTACGGGACTGCAGTCTGTGATCTTCCCAGCTTGCATCTGACAAAAAAAAGTCCACGGGGGAAGCCAAACTTGCTTAATAATGGCAGTGATTCGCTTAACAACATGGGAAAATATCTTAAAATCGGGCGCAACTCACTTAACCACGGCCTTCTTAAGAAAATAAATTTTGGTCGTAAGTCGAGGACTACCTGTACAGCTAAAGAAAGAGGAATATCCACAGAGCCACTGCTATTCAGAGCTCCAAGAAAAGGACCTGAAACTTCTGTAAACTGTATTTATTAAATCACGTAGTGGAGCAGAGGCCACAGTGAAGAACAGTTTCTAAGATGTGAAATCCAGTGTTCAAATCCCACTTGACTTACACATTAAGTGAGCTACAATCTCTCCATTCCATCCCATCAGCCATTTGGGTATGATTGCAATGCCCCATCTAACAAGGTTAATGTAAGAAGCTGTCAATATGCTAAATGTTGCAGAATCAAGAGAAGAAGAAAAATAGCCAGAATGAACAGAAATCCCAGTCTGCCATCTGCTGGAAAGCATGAAAATATAGTAGGGAAACAAGTTCGATTTCAAGTCTTCTTTAATCTGGCACCATCCAGGTGTGTCAGGATTGCCAATCTAGAAATCGGTCTGAAAAGCTGTGTGGGAAATGTTTGGAATTGCAGTTGAACACATTTGGGCATAAAACCAGTAATTTCCAAGCCCCCAACTTCAACGTCTCCCTCTCCCAGTTCTTAAATTCAGTTAAGGCTGTGTTGTGCGAGTGTTGATTCTTTGAGCGTCATTCTCTTTGATCCCTGGTTTCCTAAGTTTGTATAGGAACAAAATGAAGGACTAGGGGAGACATGATAGCAATCTTCCAATATCTCAGGGGCTGCCATAAAGAAGAGGGAGTCAAGCTATTCTCCAAAGCACCTGAGGGCAGGACAAGAAGCAATGGATGGAAACTCATCAAGGAGAGAAGCAACTTAGAACTAAGGAGTTATTTCCTGACAGTGAGAACAATTAATCAGCGGAACAACTTGCCTCCAGAAGTTGTGGATGCTCCAACACTGGAAGTTTTTAAGAAGAGACTGGATAACCATTTGTCTGAAGTGGTGTAAGCTCTCCTACCTAGGCAGGTTGGACTAGAAGACCTCCAAGGTCCCTTCCAACTCTGTTATTCTATTCTATTCTATTCTATTCTATTCTATTCTATTCTATTCTATTCTAT